GCCCTCCCCCAGGCTCTTTCCAAACATCATGTTTCTCTTGTCTCATTGAATTTCAAATCAACATTTCCAAGCATCTTGTCTAATACTCAGGCCAGCCCTCATTTTATCTATGAGGGGACAAAGGGACCAGTCGATGCCATTCGCTTGGCAAAGCCAACACCAACATCACTGACCCTAACCAAACCCCGCGGCCCTGGGGGTGGGCTAGTGCCTGCGTGTGTGGGTTCCTTCATGATCCCGAGGGCCTCCTGCCTCCCCAGTTCCCCTCTGTGCAGTGGGGACGACGAAGCTCTACCCCACACGCTGAGTCTACCTCAGGGAGCCGAGGTGAGCGCTGCGTGCAGGTGGCTGTCACTGTTGCAGTGATTCCTAGCCACCCAGGGGACATTTATCAGGCAGTGCACTCGCACCCAGCACCATGCTCTGTGCTGGGAATACAGACGCAGCAAGACGGCCCGAGCCTCTCCTGCAGCGGACCTCCCTGAGGACCAAGGAGGCTGGCCAGAGGCAGACAACCAGATGACCATGCCAGGTTGGGGAAGCCTGGTGCTCCGGCAGCTCAAAGGAAGGCCTGTGGCCTGACCTGGGGTCCAGGGAGGCCCTCCTGGAGGAAGTGTCATGGAACCAGAGCCCTGAGGATGCATAGGAGTTAGCCCAGGGGGCGGGGAGAGGGGCTTCCAGAAGGAGCATCACGTGCAAAGGCGGGGGTGGGGGGTCAAGTGGGTGAAGGTTTTCAGGAATTGCAGGTCCACCAGGGCAGGTCACAGTGCATGGGAAAGCGTGGGACGGCGACTGGCGGGTGGCATGGGAGGCCCGGAAGGCCTCTGCGCCCAAGGTCTCAGTCTAATTCCCAAGGGCAGCCAGGAGCCATGAATAGGCCAAGGAGCCCAGCACCCTGAGCAGATGTGGGTTTGAGGAGGTCTTTCTGATTTCTGGGTGAAGAGTGGACTGGATGGGGGATGGAGGTAGACGGGGGACAAGAGTCCACAGGTTGCTACAGACAACCAGAGAGAGCCAGCTTGGCCCGGGGGGGGGGGGGGGAGGGAGAAGACAGGCTGGCCCCTGGGGGTGGCAGGGACCTTCCTGAGCCAAGCAACAGCCCAGGAGGAGGAGGAGGAGGAGGAGGAGGAAGAGGAGGAGGAAGAGGAGGAGGAGGCTGAGGTCCAGAGGGGACAGCCTCGGAGGCCCTCCTGCAGGAGGTAGAGAGGGACCTGGGGCTGGGGGCCAGGATGTGGCTGGGCAGAGGCCTGCAGGCTTCAGAGACAAGATGGGTGCCCCCTCCGCTCCCCGCTCACCGCCAGTGGGTGTGGATGACGCTGATCTCCGACGCCGTGGCCCCCTCTCCCAGCACCAGCGTGCTCACGCTCATCTTGTCCTTGATCCTCTTCAGCCAAGGGCAGGTGGAGCCAACGGCCAGGTTGAACCACTTCCCGTAGATCTAGGAGGCAGGCACAGGGTCTGGTCCCCTCCGGCCCCAGACCCTGCCTGCTCCCCTCCCGCCTCCCGTCTCACGACACTGTGGAGTCACAGGCCCCAGTGGCTCAGGAAGGAGGGGTGCACCCAACCCCGCCTGCCACTCAGAAGATTCCCTGAGCACAGTGTGTTGCTCCTGGGGACGGGGCTGACCTCTATGTCCCCAGGTCACCGGCCACTGCTCCTCAAGAGACAGTCCTGTCTTTACCCCTCCAGGGACGGGGAGCCCTGGGACCCGGCCCTGACCCAGCTCCGTCCTGCTTGCCTGCTCCCCATCATCTCCCACCCCGGCCCCCAGGCTCATGGGCACACGCCTGCTCTGTGCCATCCCAGGTTCTGTCCACGCCATGAGTGGGGACGAGGCCCCGGGACGGGCCAGCAGAAGGACGTGTAGGGAAGGTGAGTCACTGAGGACCAAGGCGGGGACAGGGCGAGCCCCGAGGTCCACGCCACGTGGGCGGCTGAGGGGCTGCAGGGTGGCCGTCCCAGACGAAGCCTGCCCTGGGGCAGCTGCTCGAGGGTCCCAGAGTCTCCTTGGAGCCTGCGGGGACAGGATGCTTGACCTGTGGGATCTGAGGTGAGAGGTCCCACGGAATGAAGGACAGACGGGTCGAGCTGTAGCTCCGAAGAATCCCAGAGCCCAAATGGCATGACAGGAGGGACTGACCACTGGAGCTCCAGGGGAAGACCGAGAGCCCATGAGGCGCCCACAGCCACCTCCCCCAGAGAGGACAGCCTTACCCGGGTGACGTCGAAGTTCTCCTGCACTTGGATGTCATCTGGCACAGGGTCAGCGCTCGCCGCCACGCAGGTGGCCAACAGCAGAAGCGAGGCGCGGAGACCCCACATGGCTCTGCTCTCTGTCCTCGGGCGGTGCACTGCCTGCTCTGGGGACAGAGGGGTTGCAAACTTCCTGCAGGGGTGGCTGGGAACTGGGGCTAGGGAAGGGGCCCGAGGCTGGTAGGTGACCGTGGTGTTTGCTCTGCTTGACAGGGACCAATCAGGGCCCAAGGCCAACTGGGATCGATCACTGGGGTTGATTCCCGTAGAAAGGGGGCCAGTGGCCTTTGGGAAGAGACCCAGGCTCAGCAGAGAGGGCTCGGCCCCCAGAAGGCCTCCCGCCCGCCTCGGGGGTCTCTCTCTGGGCACCGGCTTCCCGAAGTCCTTGCAAATAATAGTAGAGATGATGATAGTGACAATAGCCTCCCTCACTGAGTACCTGCGGTACCCGGCTTTGTCCCACAAGCCACAGAACTGAGTTACACTCCCACTACACCCAGGCAGAGGTGCTATCTTCCCTCTTTACAAACAGAGGGTTGGAGTCTCCAAGAAGTGAGGTGACTGGTCAGGGCCCCCCAGCTGGGAAGTGGAGCTGCTGAGAAGGACAGCATTTGGCCGTGGTCAAGAGCAGGGACTTAGCCTATACGGCATTCCTTCTGTGTGACTTTGGGCAAGTTGCTCTACCTCTCTGTGCCTGGGTTTTCTCGGACATAGCAGCAATCCTTGGTTCCCAGCATTGTGGTGAGACTGAAGGTGTTCACGCCGGGGAGGCACTACCACCACCTCTGCCATGTGGGGACAGCTGAAGCTGTTTGTGGGGCTTAAATAGTGTTCCCTCCAAAATTCCTGACCACCCAGAATTGTAGAACGTGGCCCTTACTTGCAGATGCAATTAGTTGGGATAAGGGTGACCTGGGTGACAGTGCATCCTGAACCCAATGTCCAGTGTCTTTATCAGAAAACACAGAGACTCAGAGACGCACAGAGAAGAGGGCTGCGTGGACACGAGGCAGAGGCTGGAGGGGCAGCCGCAGGTCGACCGACCGAGACTGGCAAGAGGCCAGGCAGGGTCCGCTCCAGAGTCCCCAGAGGGAGCCAGTCTCTTCTGCCGACTTGCTCTGGGACCCCCGGAGTCCAGTCCTGCGAGAGAGTTCACTTCTGTTCTCAGCCACCTGGATGTGGTCCTTTGTCCCCAGGAAGTGAGGACAGTGTCCTTCGACTGATGATGGTGGATGGGAAGTCTCAGAAAACTGGACCCGTCAGTCTCCAGAGCTCAGGCTGTTGGCCCGCGACACCGTGGTCTCTCCCTGAAGTTCTCTTCTCCGGGGGTCAAGCCCTGCCCGCTGTCTCCCCTGCTCCTGGAGGGGCCTGTCACCCAGGCAGCAGCCTCCCGGCTAGAGCTGGGGGTGACCCTTTCAGAAAGACAGTTCCAAGTACAAGACCCCTGCGGTGTGAGAATTTGGGGGCGTTCCCTACATTGTCAGTGCATGAACAAATGGTGTATCGTAAGATCTCGTTCCACCCCTCTTTTCCTGTTATCCGGAGCATGTCTCTGTTTTTTAAGTTTCCTCTGCTCCATAACAGACAGCCTGGCCACTGACTGCATTTCCTTTTTCCTTTGGCTGCCAGGAAGCTCAAAGCCATGACCGATGTTTAAGCCAGCAAACGCCTTGGCTTAGCTTTCTGGAATAGTTCTCTTCCCTTGTGCTCCTGGAGTTTCTCAGTCTTCTGTGGTTTGGCTAAAGGCAGCAGCAGGGGGCAGCGTAGACCAAGAGGGCGTGCACAGGACTGGAAGCCAGACATTCTGACTTCTTATTCTGGGTGAACTGGGCGGCTTTCTCTCTCTGAAGGCCTCTGTCCCATTCTGTAAGCTGAAGACAACAGTCCCTGCTCCGCCTGCCAAGAGGTCAACAGACACTGTTTGTGAAAGCGCCCTGTGACCTCAGGGCATCTGTCACCTTACTTGGGCTGTTACAGGGAACCAAGATGGCACCTGATCTTCACGGCAGGGGGCAGGACCCAGGTTATCAACCCCACTGTCCAAACCAGAAGCCGAGGTGGTCCCGGCCTCCCTGGACAGGGCCTCGCTCAGCGCTCAGCCCCCGAGGCTGGGAGAGGCCCCAGGACGTCAGGGTGTTGACCTCCTGCCCCTGGGGTGTTTGTGATCCTGAGATTATTAACCAGAGCAGAGAGGGAGGAGGTGCTGAGGCCACCTGGACTTTGAGCTGCTGTTTAAACATTAAGCCCAGGAGGCGGAGAGGCCAGGCAGAGGGAGGGGGCCCAAGGGTGCAGAGTCCACAGGGTTCGTCCAGCTTCCAGAACCTTGTAAGGGCACAGGGAGAGCCTGCCTCGCGAGGGACCCCAGGGGGGCCCAGGGCAGGAGGGAGGGAAGGGGCTCGAGCTGGGGGCTGGGCGGGCCTGACTCCGACACCCCGGGGGTCTCCTCAACGGCCATTTGCTGACGTGTTCTCTCACCAACACACACTCCAGGCTGCTGCTGGGGACAGGATGGGGAGCGCGCAGCCTCTGGTGCTCCCGAGACAGAGACGTGATGGGGAGTGGAGGCCGAGGGGACAGTGATCCCCGAGGGCAGGAGCCCTCCTGACAGAGAGCAGGGGCAGGTGGGTGGGGCGGGTGCTCCCGGCTCAGGGGACAGCGAGTGCACAGAGGAGGAAACGGAGGCAGAATCTCGTTTGCAATGAAAAATAAAACGTAAGGAAAAAAGCCCAGTCAGGAGCTTGGTGGCAGGGGGGAGTGGCGAGGTACGGGGAGGCAGGGCCACCAGGCCCAGCGGCTGGTCCTCATCCCGGGCGTCCATGGGTGATCAGGAGAGACCAGTCAGGAACCAGGGAAGGGGCCCCGAGGAGCCACTCCCCAGGAGGGCCTCCAGGAAGGGCCATGGAGGACACTGGGTAAGGCTCTGGCCAGAGGGGGCCATCAGAGTTCAGGTCTCCCCTGCTGACGGGGAGGACACCGCGGGCAGGGTGGGTGGCCTTCCCTGCTGACGCCCGGGGCCTTGCCTCAGACACTGGCCCTCCTCAGTCCCTTGCCCCAGCCTGTCCCCTCAGGGTCACCAAGGCAGAGCTGGAGGCGGGCAGGCCCCAGGACCCAGTGACCAGCGCTGTGGGAGGAACATTCTCCAGACTCTGTGGCCCATTCCCCTCCCTCCTGTCCCCAAGAGCAAGGCCACCCAGACATGGGACTGACTGGGACAGTCGTTCCGGTTCTTTATCTGGCTGAAATAAGGACTGAGTGACGGACATTGTGAAAAACGCTCCCTAAGGGTGCACCCTAAGAGGGACCCGCGTTGTCACAGCCACTTGGAGCTGAGGGCTCCGTACTTGGCTGGAATTGCACTGAGGCGCATACCCCACATGTCCACGAGGGGGCAGCAGAGAGCTACCAGGAAGACCTGAGGCTTTGAGCTCAGATTGTTCTAGACAGTCAAAGGGCAGCAGTCCTGGAGCCACAGAAAAACTGAGCTCCAGCCGGGCCTTCCTTGCTCCCTGCTGAGTGTCAAATGTTCAGCCTTTACCTTTAGCTTGAGACTGAGTAGGTCCCTTTAAAATGAATACATAAATGTCCTTGGGGAACTCTGCCTAGGGATGGGGATTGGGTACAGGTGCTGCGGATCTGAATGATGAACTTAGTAAGTTCTCATTTAATGATGAACTTAGTAAGTTCTCACCACGTCTGTGCTGAGCACCTGGGGTGGAGCATGTCTCACCGACTTCTCTATTCAGGTTCTCGCCATGCCATGGCCCTGTTTTGCAGATGGGAAAACTGAGGCTGGGAGATCAGGTGATGGGGTGTTGAAGATCATCCAGCCAGAGAGATGCAATGCAAACTCAGGACTGTCATCCCAACGCCCAAGGCCCTCTGCCGGCCTGCCCATGCTCTCCCTGATCACGAGCAGGACCTTCTGGCCATGTTCTTTAGGACACGCGGAGCTGAGGGATCTCCCTTCATTTGCTCTCCACCGTGGGGGCCAGGCTGGGGTCAGCCCGTCTCTCCCTCCTCCGCCGAGTGTGCTTGGGGTCTGACATACCAAGTTCAGCCCTCTTTTTCCCTGGGGTCCCGTACTGTGCACGGCACGTGGTGCATGCTGATTGGGGCAGACCCCAGGAAGGGCCACCCAAGTAGAAGACAGGAAGTGGAGTCCAGGGCCTGGGGATCACACCCAGAGTCCTTCACAAGGGCCAGTGGATGCGCAAGCAAGGGAGGACAGCTGGGCTGGCTGAAAAGCAAAGAGCCCCGGCCCTGAGGGGTCCACCTGCGGCCATTTTGGGGGGTTGTCTGTTCTGTAGGCAGGAGCAGCAGTTCAGCCTCAAAACCTCAGGCCCAGGTGTGGGTGCCGTACCTGCTGCAGCCCCTGTGGCCTGTGTGAGTGAGCAACTTATGAACCCGAGTCCTCCCCTGTTAAATGAACTAATCAGAGCTCATGGGGTGCAGGAGATTTGAGGATAAGAAGCGTGTGGCCTTCTTGCTCCTTGGAGAGGCCTCAGCTTAGGCGGGGCCCTTCCATGTTGCTGTTTCGGGTTCATGATTGTAGGAGGGGGTGGCTCAGCCTGAAGAAGCTGCTCATAAAGTGGGACCCGTTTGGAATTCAGAATTTTTTTTTTTAATTGCTACCAGGGATTGAACTCAAGGGCACTTAACCACTGAGCCACATCCCCAGCCCTTTTGAATCTTTTATTTAGAGACGGTCTCGCTGAGTTGCTGAGGCCGATTTGGACTTGTGATCCTCCTGCCTCAGCCTCCCCAGCGCTGGGATTGTAGGCTGCGCCATCACGCCTGGCTTCAGGATGTTCTTGAGACGCAGGCATCTGCCCACTCCTCCCCGGCTGGTCTTGTCTGTCCACTGAAGCAGGACCTCCAGGGGCCGCTGACTCCTGGCTGACCGAGTGGACACAGCCCAACCTCCTTGGAAGGACTGAGATGACATTTCCTGAAACCGCAGGCAGGCGGGGCTCTTTGGAAAGCCCCACTGTTCTTTCTTCAATAAAGACAAATGAATTTCTTCCCCTCAGCTGACTCGGAGCCGCCGCGGGAACCTTTCCCTGGCTCTTGCCGACTCACCACTGATTCCCTGGAAGAATGTGGGTCAGAAGGGACACCCTGTGGGAAAGGGACAGCTGACCTGAAATCTGTAACAGCAGGAGTCCAGACATGGACCTGATTCCTCCCTGGCGAGTCCGGGAATGGTGGACCCTGGTACTGAGAGCATTCGCTAGGAGTAATAATAGGAATGACAGCCAGCGTTGCCTTGGCACCCACCGTGGGCCAGGCGTCTCAAGTGTGCAAGGATTCACTTCATCCTGACGTTACCCACTGTGACCACTTAGCTCCTGTGAGGGTCAGTCAATTCCGTTTTATCCCCACTTCACGGAGGAAGAAACCGAGGCTCGAAGGGGTCAACTCTCCCGTCCAGGATCCCACAATTGGTAAGTTGGGCAGATGTAGGCTGAGGAACGAAGGGGCAGAGTCTGTCCCCCTGGAGACCACCCAGATGTCCTGCTACCCCACCCAGGGCTCTGCCATCAACCCTGGACTTCAGGGCTCCCCCTCTAATTCTTTGGGTTCTAGTTGAGGCTGTGCTAGAGCTAGAGTCCTCCCTCACCGGGTGGTGAAGCTGCCTCGTGGAGGTGGGGAGGCCTTACCAAGCCTCTTTGGGTCCTGGCTGTTCTAGAACGTGTGGGCTGGGTGGAGTTTCCCTCTAGAAACTGCTCTTCTACCCGCCTCCTGCTGAGGTCCCACTGGGTGGCGGTCAACGTGGTGGTTGAGCGCACTTGGCCAGGACCTGGGGAACCCACCAGAGGTCTGGGCAGCCAGGTCACGTGGAATTGGTCAGTGCACTAGGAACTCGTGAATCACCTGCCCATTGCAGAGAATCCCTCCCAACTTCTAGACCAGGTTTTGCAATCGGAGAGATCCTTAAGGATTGGAACTCTGGGAAATTCCCAGAGCTTCAGGATTCCAAGGGCTTCTCTCAATTCCAATGTCCCAAGGGGTCAGACGCCTTCTTTGAAATTTGACTATGCTTCAGAACGACTACCCTGTTTCCAGGGGCCAAAGCATTGTCCCCAAGTTCCAGAAATCTGCAGACAGATTGTGGCTTGGGGGTCCAGAAGTACCTTCCTGAGTGCACAAGTTCCCAGGAAGGGCCAGGTGGACTGAAGTCTTGGTCTGGTGCTGGCTACCTAAGGCCTGTGGAAGGCCCAGGGCCTCGGGGGGTCCTAGGAAAGCACCGTCTTGGAGGGAGGATGCTGAGGGAGAGGTGGGCTCGTGGCTCATGAGACGGGGCAGGGGAGGACCTGTTCCCATAAGTCCAGCGTCTCTCTTGGGGAGAAAGAAGTGGGGTTTTGCTGAGCCGGAGCATGAGTTGGCAGTAGGAACTGGGGAATCGTGGCCGGCTCCAGGGGAACCGTCCAGACACAAAAGAACTGCTCAGCCAGGCCCCTGGGTGGTCCTCATGAATCCTCCCCACGCAGGGATGGAGAATGCTCATGCTGGGTGCCAGGGGCCTCCCCTGCCGGAGGCCCAGGACCTCCCAGCTGCAGGGCCTGGAAGCAGCAAGGTAAGGGCGCTGGGAGAGGGAGGTAGCCTGGGCGGGAACCTGCTGAGCCACCCAAGCTGAGGTAGTGCCAGCACATTACGGCGATAACCGGGCCCCTCTTCAGGTCTCTGCACGAACGTCCCCTCCACACAGGACCTTTCCAGAACCCCATATGTAGAGTTGGGCCCCTGCCAGACCCAGCCCGGCCCCTGCTCTACTCTGCTCCCCAGGATGTATCAGCGCCCCACATGCCCCGGGGAGGTGTCCTGTGTGTCTTCTCCTGTGCTCTGAGGGGGGCTCTCGTGCTTGGTTCTGTGCTGGCCCAAAGCAGGTTCTCAGCAGGTACCTGTGGAAGGAGATGGTTTTGTGCTGACTGAAGGTTGCCGGTGGCAAAGTCACTGCAGCAGGCAGTGACATTCTTTCCAAATATCAGGGAGTCTCATCCTCGTGAGGGGTCTTCAAAGGGACCTTGTTACTCTGCCCACTCTGGATAGGTGGTCACTTGGACTCAGAGCAGTGACGTCACTTGCCCAGGGTCACCCCCCGGGTGCGTGGTGTCAGGTTGGAGCTTGTGTGGCTGACCCACAGCCTGCCCTCCTGGTTGGCTGGTTGGCCATGGTCCTCCAGCCCCTGGCCTGCCTCAGGGTCACCACTGGTGAACACCCCTGATGCTCCGTCACAAGTCCTGCCTCCCAGAACCTGATCACAGGGGCTCCAGTCTGGGCTGACCCTGTTAGCCTCAGCTGCAGGGTCCTGCCACACAGACTCAGGAGCCAGGGGCCTTGCAATTGACGAGGTCCAGAGAGGGCTGATAGCCTGTCCCAAGTCACACAGGACACCCAGAGTAGCCTCAAGGTACCTTGTTGTTTTCTCTGGGTCCTCACCCCCCTGGGGCTGATTCTGAGACTGTCCAAGGTTCCTCTGCAGAGTGCTGGGAGAAGAGCCTGAGTCTTCCCTGGCCTGGCCCTGCACTGGGGAGTCCTCAGGCCAGGCCCCCCTGTTGCAGAGATGAGGAGACTCCATCTTCTCCAGCATCCTCCCCGGCCAGCTTGGTCCCCCAGAGCTCCCCAGGCCTGTGGCTAAAGCTGCCTGCCTGGGGACTTGCCCAGGCCCAGGCCCCAGGTCTCAGACAGTGTCCACCCGGAGGCCCAGCTCAGCGCTGCTGGCTGAGGGGTCTCCTCTCTGTACTGGCCTCCTTTCTGGTCCCCTGCCTCCAGCCCCTTCACCATCCATGCAAGGCCAGCGTGGTCCACGTGCAAATCTAAGCCAGTGACTCCTCCAGCCCCTTCCACGGCTCCCCTGTGCCCTTGACAGGGCCCCAGTTCTGGATGTGGCCCACTGACCCTGAAATTCCGAGTCCTGGAAAATTTGGAAACTCAGAGGCCTCTGGGCCTTTGCCTCCCGGCCCCTCCACCTGCCAACTCGGCAAAGCTTTCCTGGCCCCCCACAATTGCTTATTGGGAGACCCTCCTTGGTGCCTCCACAACGCCCTGACCTTCCCGTCAGCCCGTGTGAGGTTGGAAGTGCCTGTCTGCCCCGCAGCAGCGGGGGCTACCAGGGAAAGCCACCTTGTCCCGTGTTGGTCCCGTTCGCAGCTTACAGCTCCAAGTGCAGCTGACACCGGCTGTTTGTTGAATGAATGAGCCAATGAGCCCTGTGGGCCTCAGCTTCCCGGACTGTAAACGCCACCGTGGAGTTGACCAGGGGCTTCCTGTGCTGAGCCGCTCCTGCTCCCACTCCCCATCCCTCCCGTCACATCCAGACCTCTCCATAGCTACAGACCCCCCATCCTCCTGGGCACTCAGACCAGGGACCACGACATTCCGCACATCCTTCATCCTCATGAATGGTCACAGGACAGGTGCCGTCTCCCCCCCAGACAGTGGCCCAGGAAGGTGCAGGCCTGAAGCATCTGAAGCCAGGTCTCCCGAGCCCACCAGCACCAGGACCTGCAGCTAGCACAGAGCAGGTGGGACCCTGGCCACTCGACTGCCCCAGCTCAAGCCTCCCCCATTGAGACATTCACCATCCCACGCCCCCACACCTTCCCAGTGCCAAGCCTACCAGTGGCACATGGTAGGTGCTCAATTAAAACTAGCCTAATACATGAAGGGAGGTGGGAGGCTAGGACATCCCAGACCAGAAGAGGACACACATCCGTACCAAGAGTCCTTGTTCCTCCTCAGACTCCCCAAAGAGCCCTTCCCGTCTCGGATTCCCTTAAGGAAAGTGACTGACACACAGAACCAGACCCGGAGCCAACACCTCTCTTTATTCATACATTTTGTCCCCTGCTGCCTGGTTTCTCAGGACAGTCTTATCTCAAGGGCAGCCTCCTCCACTTGTCCCCCCAAGGAGCCCCCCAGCTCCTGGAGGTGTGTTCTGCCCAGTCCAGCTGCAGGCTGAGTAGCCACAGCCACTGCCATTCACAGAACCGGGAGAGCCAGCCCGGGGCCCATGGCAGACTCCACTTTGCCTTCAGTGGGGAGGGGGGACTCCGTCTGGGCTCTGAGCACACTTGCTGGTGGGTGGCTGGCTCTGGCCCCGTCGCAGGGAGCTGCCGATCTGCAGTCTGAGGGCCTCCAGTCTCTGGGCGAGGTTTGGGACCCCGGCCCCACCTATGGAGCAGCGAGACTGGAGGCCTGCCCTCCCCGGGCCTCCTGCCCTCCCCGGGGCCTCCCTCTGGAGCAGCACCTACACCCTTCCCTACAGCTGTCTGCGCCTGGGGGCCCTAAAGAGAGAATTCCAAGATTTGGAGCCGATGGTTCTGAGCAGTCCCTCCTAAGCCCACCGCCCAGACATGGAAGCCTGAGGCCCGAGCACCCCAGGGCCCCTCTCCGAGGCCTGAGCACCCCAGGACCCCCTCCCCATTCACCTTTCAGCACTGGCGGCATCTTCGGGGGCCCCATGGGCAGCGGGGGGGCCGAGGGCACCACCTCCTCCCCGGTCAGCATCTCTGCCAAGACGCGGGTCTCAGTCCAGTCACTGTGGCTCCTGGGCCAGGGTGAGCGGGTGGTAGCAGGGGAGCATTTGCATCCCCAGGGCTCCTCCCCACTCAAACGGCCCCAGGGCTGGGCTCACCTCCCTCTCGGGCACTGGGCAGAGCCGGGGCTGCACGGGGGTGCCCAGGCGGGGGGCCGGGCAGACAGGGGCAAGCCACCCGGGGCCTCGGGGTCTGGCACCTATAGGAAGATCAGAGACCACACTGGGTGACCTCAGTCCCTCTTGGTGTCCCACTTTCCTGGTGCTGGCCATGACTCCTGGCCATGCCTGTCCCACCATGTGCCCAGAGTGTCAGGCCAGTGTAACAGGCGGGGTCTTGGTCGCCTTCCTCTGGGCTACAGATGACTCATGTAGTGTCCTGAGACTGGGAGCCCCTGGCAGGCAGGAGCCGTGCCTGGGCTATTTCTGAACCCTGGGCACCTGGGACAGAGGCTGCCCACAGCTGGGAGCTCAGGGGAGGGGACTGACAAGGCCGGCAAGCGCAGGAGCAGCAAATGCACAAAGGGGCAAATACTCAGGTGCAGGAGTGAACCAGCGAACGAGGGGTGTGTTCCTAAGAGACGGCGGGTGGGACGAGGGCACGTGTCTCACCCTGGGCTGGGCGCCCCAAGCCAGTCCTTCACCCACCGTGATGCAGCCTGGAACCCAGGATCCCTGGGGTCCCCGTTCCCTGACTGTCGACCTCTAGATCAAGGTCCAGGTCCCCCAGGTCCCCCCCACCCAACGCCCAGCCTTTCCTACCTGCGGCTGGTGGTGCTCCCTCCGCGGGCAGGCCCAGCGGGCCAGAGGTGCTCGGCACAGAGGGCAGAGGTGGCAGCAGGGACAGGAGCAGAGGGGTGGCAGTGCCTGCAAGAGTGCACATCAGAGGCTCCGCGGCATCGTAGCTTGTCACCCTTGCAGGCTGGGAGGGGAGACTCACGTGGCAGGGGGCAACTGGCACCATCAGGCAGGAGCACGGTGGGCCGGGCGCGGGGCACAGCTGGCAGGGGGTTCGGGCAGAGCAGAGGCGCCTGCAAGAAGAGCCGGCTCTGCCTGTGGCCGCAGGCCCCCTGGGCTGGCCTCGAGGCCCCCTCAGCAGCACGTCCTGTGCCCAGGGCCCCTTCCCCTGCCCTCCAGGCCCTGTGGCGCGGGTGACCCAGGACCCCATCTTACAGAAGAGGAAACCCAGGCAGCGAGGGGCCAAGTGACAGGCCTGACCGGGCACAGCCAGGACCTGGCAGGGCTGGAAACTGAACCCAGGTGGACCCAGAGGTCACACTGCCATGTCACTAAGTCCCTCTGTTCCCAGCGTCCCTGTCTCTAGGCTGCGGCTGCGCTCACCTTTCCAACTCGAGGACCTGCTGGGAGAGGACGCGCTGCTGGTCGTGGGCCAGGTCTCGGCTACTCTGCAGCTGGCTTATTTCTTTCCTGGGAGAGGACAGGCCCCACAAGGTGACGGGGTGCTGGGGTGACGGTCAGGCCCTACTCACTGCAGCCCAATACCAGCTGCAGGAAGCTGGGGGACGAGGGGGGAGGGGACAGGACATCCTGACCGAAGCGACCCGGCAGGGAGGGGCGGTGGTCAGTGTCCCCCCCTGGGGCTGGGCTGCACCTGAGCCGCTCATTCTCCAGCATGAACTCCTGCAGCATGCCATAGAGGTTCCGCTGGGCCCAGGCCACCCGGGCTCCACGGAGCTCTGGGCCTGTGTGGGAGTGGGCGGTGACAAGATCCACAGGAGCAGCAGACCCAGGCCCCAGCCACATCCACCTCCACCCCCAGGGAGCTCCTACCCTGGGGGTCCCTTTGGTCCAGCTGCAACCGCAGGTGACGGTTCTCTTCCTGAAGCTGTAGCATCTCAGTCTCCAAACGCTGAGGCTGCTTTGCCACAGGGGACTGCAGAGAAAGAGGCCCAGAGCCACCCTTTAAGGTTGTACAAGTTGTGCACTGCACAAGGCTTTGCAGGGGTGGGGAGCGAGTGGGGCCTGAAATCTAGTCCATGTTTCACTTGCCAGCCTCGAGCCCTGCACCAGGCTGTTTCTATCTGGAGCTGGCATGGGGTGCCCACTGCATCCTCCTGGAACAATCTGAGCTGGACTCGGCTCTAGGTCCAAACCAAACTCATTTCTGTTCCAAAGGCCCAGATTCTGACCTCTCAAAGGACCCTGCATCAGACCCAAGCTCCACTCGCACTGAACCATGATGCCAGCTGAGGTCCTGGCCAGGCTCTGGATCACGTCCCAGATGTCACTCCACCCTAGACCAGCCCAAAGCTGACTGTGACCTTGGCTGGGACCCTGGTCCCACCTGCCAACCATGATGTCACTTCCAGGATTCCAGCTCTCAGCCCACCCCTGACCCAGTCCCAGACTTCCGCCGTGAGGCCTTCAGGCTGCGACTCCTGCCTCCTGATGGGAGCCCACCTCCCCTGCCCGTCCCCGCACCCGGGAGCCCATTCACCTTGGGGGCCTGAGGCCGGGTGGTGACTCGCTGGGCCCGACTTGCATAACGCAGGGTGCTGAGAGTCTCAGGGAGGCACTGGGCAGAGGGGGACACGCAGGCCACCTGGGGAGGACCCCCTGAGTGCTCCTCCCTGGGAGCCCCTCCCCCAGGCCCTGCCCTCCCAGCCAGACCCCGAGGGTACCATGAGGGTGACCCCACGCCCCCCTAGTGAGTCTGCCAGCAACTTGGTGAGCTTGCTGTCCCGAAAAGGAATGTGGCTCTGCTTCCGCTGTGGGTCCAGCAACAGGGAGATGCAGTGACCTGGGTGGGGAAAGCAAGGCCCAGAAAGGTTGCACCGCTTGTCCAAAGTCACACAGCTGGATGCTACAGAGCCGGAGCTCCACCCAGACCCAGGCGACTCCAAAAGTCCATCTTCCACACAACCTCACTGCTCATTCAGATGGGTGTCCACTGCCAGCCTGGGCCTCCTGAGCGCTCAGATGGCCTGGCCACTCTAGTCTGCAATGCTCAGCAGGGTCCTGGCACTTGTTAGGGACCCAGGAAGTTTCTAATCAATGGCTGAATGAAAAGGAATTTCGTGAGCACCTCCCGGGTGTGGCACTGGGAGGTGCTAAGGCCCAGGCCCGTAAGGACCATAACCTGGGGTGGGGACATGGGTGCAGTTCTCTGCCTTGCTGGGCCTCAGTCTCTAGGTGAACCAGCACCTCCTAAGTTGGCATGTCACTCTCGAGACCCTGAGAGTTTACAGTCGGAAAGACAACATTCTAAATAGGGAAGAAAGTCAGCCTTAGGGTGGGGCCAGAGGAGGCCTGTCTCCCGGTCAGCTCCTGGGCCCACCCCTATGCATCACAACGTCTCTGGTCCCCGCTGGGCGCAGCTATTGGGCAAGTGCACAGGAGGGACACAGGAAACCAGACTGGCGTCCCCAGGCCTCACCCAGGGCCAGCAGGCTGCGGTTGATGCTGTTGGCCTCGAGCATCAGCTCCCCACGGGATCCTGTGGCCGCCACCTTCTCACTGCCCGCCAGGTCCACGAAGCACAGCTTCCCACCAACAGGGGGCGCCCCGGGGTCTGCGGGAGGCATCTGCTGGGGCTGGGGGACCAGGGCTTGATGGGGACTGGGAGGACGGTTCCCATCAAAGTCACAAGGTGGCAAGGCCAAGCGTTTCCACTGCCACCCCACCTCCAGCACACACCCAAGGTGGTTCACACACGCCCTGGGCAGCTCCCTCTGGATCGGGCACTCACAGTGGGGCGACCTATGTAGAGCGTGAGCAGGGCGTGGCTTCGGCTGGAGGCCTGGTTCAGGGTATGCGCTGATCTCCTTCTCCGGCTGAGACCTGCAGGGGCGACCAGGGGGAGCTGCACTTGGTAGAAGAGAAGGTCACTGCCAATGAGGAAGAGAGCACCGGGCAGAGGGCCCCCGGCACACAGAGGCAGAGACAGGCAGAACAGGTGTTGGTTCACGAAATGATGGGATGTGGGTCTGGCTCTAGCAGACAGGTCTAAGCAGAGGGGAGAGAACCCAGCAGAAGAATGACGTCACCCTGACATCCATAAACATCTCTCCTATTGCTGTGTAGGAGAGGGGGGAGACCAGGCACAGAGTCACCTGAGGAATGGCAGAGCTGGGGACCCACACCCTGGGTCCCTGCCGGAGGAGGGTGAGCCATAACTATTCTATCAATATTCTAAGCTTGAAGGAACCAGACTGGGACAGAAGGGCCGAACAGCCTAGACTAAGAGGTTCCACCTCTACCCACAGGGCAGGGGTGGGAGGTCCTGGAGCCTAAAGGGATGTGGCCTGGGGCTTGGAAATGGGCTGCTGGGGAAGAGGCTTGACCCAGCTGGAGGCTGGACCTGCAGGGAGGTCGGGGCTGAAAGGAGTCTGGAAGGCACCATCCCAGGCCTTGGGGACACAACTGGGCCAGGTCTGAGTTGCAGGTTTGCTGGTCCTTCTCCCCCAGGGGAGTTCTCTGGGTGGAGGCACAGCCCTCCACCACCCGGCAGCGCCTGCAGGAGCTCGCACCCATCTGAAGAAGGTCCATCAGGGTCTCCAGACTCCTGAACTCTACCACCCGCAGCTGCTCCACGTAGAAGCCCCGGGTCTTATTCCATCGAACGGGGAGCGGCCGGGGAGACCCCAGGCTCAGCAAGTCCCGAACCTGGGAGAGGAGGGAGCAGGGGAGGGGAAGGCTCCCTCTGATTCTGCGCTCCATCCGCCCAGCCCTTCTTGACAAGGGTTCCCACATCCCCTTCGGCCCCCTGTCCCTGGCTCCTTTCCTTTTGGGCTATTTAAATTTATTCCTCCCTTCCCTACCTGCTCGTTGTAGATCTCCAGGTAGGAGGCGCGGAGGGTGACGGGGGCGCCCAGGTGCTGCACGCGGTCCAACAGCCAGGCGAAGGTCCTCTGCATGATGCCTGCCAGGCTGGGGGGCACAGGCACCCCGTCCCCCTGGGGGCAAAACCAGCTGAACCTAGGCGCTGGCCCCGCAGCAGCAGCACAGTGATAAGTCCCTTCCTCCCGGGCACGGGCTCTGCGCCAGGAACCCTGCCCAGTTCCCACCAAATATCTCATTTAATCCCCACTATCATTTCCTTATCAGGTTTTTCATCATTTCCAAATGAAGAAACTGAGAACTAGTTAAGGGATCAAACATCGAACTCCAAAGGCTCCAAACGGGCAAGTCCCTTCTCCGTGATCCTCAGTTCTCTGCCAATAAATGGGGGGGGGGGCGGGGCTGCATCATCCAAGCCCCGTCCGCGGGGAGCCCCCGGCTGCCTGCAGCTCCCAGGACCCCCGCCCGCCAGCCCCGACCTTGGAGGGCTCGGCGGGCGCTCCGCGCACCTGGGGCGGCGGTCCGGTCAGCGTGTAGGTCTTCCCGGAGCCCGTCTGGCCAAAGGTGAAGACGGTACAGGAGAATCTGCAGGCGGCAGGGCGCGGCTGGACACGGGCTGGGGCGGCGGGCCGGGCGGGTGCGGGAGCCCACCCCCCACCCGCGCCGCGCCCCCGGCCACTCACCCGCGCAGAGCCAGCTCGCCCAGCCGCCGCACGCCGCACGCCCGGAACACGTCCTCCTGCGTGCGCGCCCCGTCCAGCACCGCGCCGAAGCGGAACGCCACGTCCGGGCCCCCGCCCGGGGGGCTCACCTGGGGAGGGCGGTGGGGGACACTCTGGAAAGGGCCAAGATGCCCCGGGTGTGCTGTTGTAGGGTGGCTGGAGGGGTTTCTCACCTGCAGAGTCCGGGTCCCCGAGCAGTGCAGCGCGCTCTGCTCTCCTCGACGCAGCTCGGCCGCGCTCATCGGACGCACCCTAGGATTCCAGGGAGCATAGATGGTCCATCCTGATACCTCCGTGGGTCCCATCTTCGCCCCGGTACCTCCTGGTCAACCTATGCCCACCTGAGCACCACTTGGATGGGCGTTTCCGGCCCCTCTGACCCCTGCTCCACGCTCCGCGCGGGGTCCCTGTGGCAGCAACGTGAGTTAGGGTCTCTGAGCCCCGCGCTGTCTGCTGGGCGCGACGTTCAGGGCTCCCGGAACCGTCCCAAGGCTCTGCTTACCCGTCGGGAGAGCCACGTTCCTCCATGTCCAGCTCTGCGCCCGGCATTAGCCCCGCCCGAGTCTGGTTCCTTTCCGCCGCACGGGGACTGTCTCCACACGGTACATTCCCGCCCCCATCCCGCCAGCCCGGCGGTCATCCATCCGTAAAGCTCCCGCCTGCCCAGGGCAGGCTGGTTAAAGATTCACCCAGCCCACCACTGTGCCCGGAAAGTCCCAAGTTAGGTCCCCTCGCTAGGGGGTTCTCAGTCTGAGAATCTCCTACTCCTGGCCAGTTCCATCAGCAGGGACCCATGGGGCCACTCAGACCAGCCTCCTTGTGCACAAAGGGACAGGAAACCAGGATGCGAAGGACTCAGTCAAGGCCACAGAGCTACCCTGGGCAGAGCCTGGACCAGGCTTGTCTCTCCACACACCCGCCCCTCTCCCAAGAGTTCCAACTTTTCAGTTCAGCACACAGAGAGGGGAGGGGCTTGGGCACCAGGGAGAGGCCCAGGTCTCAGTCAACTCTAGGGAGGTCCCAGCTGCCTGTCACTGAGCTGAGAGCAGGTTTCCATCATCTGGATAAATATTGGAGCGCCTGCGTCTATAATGCCAAAGCTAATCCAAGGCCAGCGCGCTGTTTGACTTTCCCCTCAGGCTTCTGAGAGCAGCAGAGATGTCTGTGAGTGCGCAGCCTGGGCAACCGCTCATGTTGTTGCAGTCTCCAGGCTGAGCACCAGGGCAGAAGAATCACAAGCAGACCTGTCCCTCCCAGCTCACAGTCTGGCTGAGGGGAAAGGAAAACAATCCAGTGTGCAGGGCCTTTGCGGAGCTCAGAGGCTTGTAGGAGCCGAGGGCCAGGAGGTGAGGGTGGTCCAGACAGAGGACACTTACTTCAGGAAGGCACTGGAGGATGTGCAGATGGGTGTGGCAAGGAGAGGTGGTTTGAGGCTAGACTCACTTCATGGGGGGCACACCAAGGAGCTGGGCTCACTCCTCAGGGAACCAGGAAGCCACTGTGTGTCCCAGGCAAGGAAGTGACACTGTCAGGTTGGCATTATTAGTGGTATTGTCATGCTGGCTGTCTCTATATGTTCTCTGAATATTTCCACAAACTCCTCTCCCCCTGAACACACAGCAGCTGGAAATCCTAAAATCCACCCACTCTGTGACAAATGACAGCCAACCATCAAAGCCACATTTCTAGAATACAGGCCACCGTGGTGGCAGCAAGCTGCCCAAGCACTGGAGGTGTGCACGTGAGAGCCACTTGACATGTTAGTTACAGGGTCCTCTGACGGGCTTTACAGGGAGGGGACTGTAGAGCCAAGAAACACAGTCCCCAGCCCTGCCACTAACTGGCCCCTGAGCCGGGCCCCCCTGGCCTGTGTCCTCCCTGTGAACAGGGTGAGTGGTCCTCTCCTGTTTCACATGGTCGTTTTGAGAGTTCCATGAGACAGAACTGAAAGTTATTCACACATGGTAACGAATTCCTGAAAGCCTAAATAAAACTCCCCAAATGATCTTCTTTCCATTTTTCAACCCCTGAGGTGGATCGGGAAAGAATCACTATCCCTGTTTCTCACCTGGAAAAAACAAAAAGAGGGAAAAGAGGCACTTTCTCCTGTGAAAGCAGGAGAAGCCCCCACAGAAGGAGGCAGCTGTGCACCTCCCAACTGAAGAGTTTAAATCAAAAACTGCAGGCAGTAGCTCGTGATGCCACCTGTAGGTTGTGATGCCACTTGTAGCGTCTTAGAGTCATAACTCCATTTAGAGACGAACAAGTTGCATTTATAATGCCCTTGGGAGTGTTAAGGACCATCAGAAATTGGTGTCCCGGTGTGCAGGGCTTAGTCGGATTGTTGCCTTGCTCACATTGCTCAGAGATGAGCCACCAGAATGGGATTTGATAAAAGTGCAAAGCAGGATATGCGCCTGCTGGGGACAGGAGGGCTGCTGGGAGGGGACTTTTGCACCAGGCATCCTAACCTGGATCAGAATGTGTGCATCATCTGACGCCACAAGCGAGAGTCTGCTCCTTTTTTTTTGTTCCCTAACAGTGAATGAGGACATTGCTACCCTTAAAGGGAGCATTCATGAGCAGAGTTTTATTATGTGTCCTCTGTATGCCAGGCTTCTCGGCACTTGGGATTCTGAGTGAACAAAACAGGTAGAGATCCCTGTCCTTGCAGAATTGGCCTTTCATGAGCAGGAAGAGGCCAACGACCAAAATCAGCACCTATGTAATCTGCAGAGCATGTTAAAAATGGAGAAGTGCTATGCAGGTCCCAAGCAGTGGGGAGGACTGAGCGCTGGGGTGGGAAGGTTGGAGTTTACACAGCATGGTCATGGGGTCATGGGATGCCTCTTTGAGAAAGAAGGGGACATTTGAGTCAAGACTTCAAGGAGGAGAGTGAGTTAACAAAGGAAGAAAATATCTGGGGGAAGATTAGCCCAGACAGAAGAAAGGTGAGTCAGTGGGAAGGTCCTGCGGCAGAGCAGACCAGTGTGTTCAGGAACAGAGGAGGGCGGGGTGGAGCAAGGGAAGGGTGACCGGAGGTCCCAGAGGGCACAGGGCTCCATCAGTGCTGGCTTGCAGAGGGCTCTGAAGGACTCGGGCTTTTACTCTGGATTCATAAAGGAGGCGATGAGCAGTGTCCAGATCTTGAATAGAGTTGACAACATTTGTTAAAGTATTGGATGATGTATGTAAGAGAAATCAAAGTAAATGCAAACACTAGCACACCTGCATTCTTCAATGGTTTTTTTTTTTTGGGGGGGGGGGTGCTAGGGATTGAACCCAGGGGTGCTTAACCACTGAGCCACATCCCCAGCCCTTTTTATATTTTTATTAGAGACAAGGTCTCACTGAGTTGCTTAACACCTTGCTAAGTTGCTGAGGCTGGCTTTGAGCTCGAGATCCTCCTGCCTCAGCCTCCCAAGCAACTGGGATTAGAGGCCTGCGCCATCACACCTGGCCACATCTTCAACTCTTAAAAATCAACACAAAGAAAAAGACTTAAATGCAGCCATGGGGAAAAAATGACATAGCACTGAAAAAAGGCATCCCAAAGACTGACGAATACTTTCGAGTACAAATTATACAATAGGTGACATCTCCAAAGGGCTGAATTTAAAAAACAAAAATCCACCTAGAATTGGATGCCCGGCAAAAGTATCCTTCACGAGCGCAGCTAAAACAGACATTTCAAACCAAGAGCAGCGGACCTAACTCCCCACTGCTGGACCAACATGGCAAAACATATCAAGGAAGTTTCGTTTTGGTTTTTTAAATGACGGATGAAAATGATCCCACGTGGAAATGTGGACGGCAGGAGAAAAAAGGAGCACCGGAGAATGAGGAAGTAATCCCTGCGACTGCTTGAAAGAAACACTGTGTCTGGCGACCATGATCATAGAGAGAGAAACAAACACACGTGAAATAAAAGGTGGGAGGGGGAGACCAGCTGTGGATTGTAGAGTTCTTCTATTGTCTGGGGAGTGATAAAAGCACTAACTTAAGGTGGACCTAAGGTAATACATCAGAGATGTAGAGTGACATCTTTAAGATAATTGCTCTGAAAATAATGGTGAGCCAGGCCTGATGGCACATGCCTGTGATCTAGCTGCTCAGGAGGCTGAGGTAGGAGGAGCACAAGTTGGAGGACAGCTTCAGCAGCTTAGAAGGACCCCGTCTCAAAATAAAATTAAAAAATTAAAAAAGAGCCATGTGTGGTGGTGCACACTTATCATCCCAGCAGCTTGGGAGGCTGAGGCAGGAGGATTGTGAGTTCAAAGCCAACCCCAGCAACTTAGCAAGATGCTAAGCAATGTAGTGAAACCGTGTCTCTAAAACAAGACAAACCAAAACAAAACAAAAAACCCAAAACAAATATATATATATGTATATATATATATTTATTTATTTATAAAGTTTATATATATACATATACATATATTTTTTTTTCTACACACACACACACTCACATGGACTGGGGATATGGCCCAGTGGTTGAGCACCCCTAGGTCCAATCCATAGTACCAAAATAAATAAATAAATAAATAAATAAATAAATAAATAAAAGAGTTAAAATTAAGATGGTAGTTATAGAAAAAAAAGAATCAAAACTATTTGATTGAGTCAAAAGAAGACAAAGAGGAGAAATAAAGTTATAAAGAGCAAATTAAACAGAAAACAACAAGATACAATTAAATCCAATTTTATCAGTAAGTCCTGTTGGTCCTCTCTGTTTGAGTTCTGAATCAGCAAATTCAACCAAATGTGGATGGAAATGCTAGGAAAGAAATAAAGCTCATCTGTACTGAACATGTACAGTTTTTTTTTCTTGTCATTTTGTCCTAAACAGCACAGTACAAACAACCATTTACATAGTATTTACAGTGTATCATCTATTATAATTGATCTAGAGAGGGTTAAAGTGTATGGGACGGTTTACAGGGGTTATATGTTAATACTTATCTATTTTATATAAGAGACTTGAGCATCGTGGATTTGGGGATCCTCACAAAGATTGTCACACTGGATACAACAAACAAAATGTGTTTTTGTATGATTTTTTCATCCAATAATAGAAATCAAAGGAGAATAGACAAATGCACCATCATGATTTGATCTTAGCGAGACTCTTTCACTAGCGAAGACCAACAGGTAAAAATTTACAGAAGATTTGAACAACACTGTTATCTTTTGCTCTAAATGACAGTTACAGAACACCAGGTTCAATAACTATAAAAATCCACAGTCTCTTCTAGTGCACATTTCCCAAAATAGACAGTGGGCTGTGAGGTCAGCCTCAACCATTTCAAGTGACTGAGAGTCCATTGAGTATGTTCCCCAGCTGTAGAGGAATCACCTAGGATCAATAAAGGAAAGGTCACTAGAAAATCGCACCCCCCCAGGATTGGAGATCAAACAAAAGACACGTTTACATGACCTTCCGATCAAAGAAGATTTGCAAACTATTAGAAATATTTTTTAGTTAACAATAATGCAGGTACTCAAGCGGTGTTCAGAGGAAATTTTATAGTTCAAAATACTTATGTTAGAAGAGAAGGGAGGTTGAAAAATCAATTATCAAAGTTTCCATCTCAGGAAGCTCCAAAAAGAAGACTGCACAAAATCCAAGGAAGAAGGAAAGAAATTGCACCGCTCAGAGCAGAGACCACTAAACATGGCTGGAGGATAACAGAGCCAAAAGTCGGGGTTTTGTACTGATGTTTAGTCAACTACTCAAGAAAATGAAAAGAGGAAACGCAAATTATGAATCTCAGAAATAAAAAAGATGAGACAGCTACAGATCTCACAGACATTAAGAGAAGAATAAGAAGACATCACAGATGGGTGCACACCTGTCATCCCAGCAGCTTATGAGGCAGGAGGATTGCAAGTTCAAAGCCAGTCTCGGCATCTTAGTGAGGCCCTAAACAACTTAATGAGACCCGTCTCACAATGAAATATAAAAAAGGGCTGAGGATGGGGCTCAGTAGTTAAGCACCCCTGGGTTCAATCCTCAGAATGAAAGGAAAAAAGAAGGGTTTGCAGATCCCTTAAACAATTTACTAATATGGATAGAAGAAAAGAGCAGACTATTTGAGTAGCTTTATATCAGTTAAACAAGTTGAATTGAGACTCTTGGCCTGAATGGCTTCACGGGAAACTTTCTAAACATTAAAGAAGTAATATCCATCCTACCCACACTTTCAGGGATGGAGCCGGAGGGGGCATTTCCAGATGGATTTTTCTAAATGAGGCTGACTTAACCCTGATATCCAATCCTTACAATGACACCATACAAAAAGAAAATGACAGGCCATTATCTCTTAGGAATACGAATGTCAGGCTCCCAAACGATTATTAACCAATCACATCCAGCAATATGTAATTGCCTAATATATGTGGATCTATTCCAGTGACTCAAAAGTGGCCTTAACTTTGGAAACTCAATCCGTGTCATTTTAACACATTGATAAGAAGAGAAGGAGAAAACCAGTGGTTATCTCAAAGGATACTAAAAAAACTTGATAAGATTTAACACTTATTCATGATATAAATAAAAGCCTCAAAAACGAGGAGGAATACATGAAAATTCCTTAATTTCATAAAGGTTATCTAAAAAAAAAAGCCCTCAGGTAGCATCACATCTAATGATAAAATAATTTCTCCCATCACCATTAGTAGATAATTGGTACAGTTGTCCTTGACATTCTTGGGGAATTGGTTCCAGGACCCCCCACCCACCCACCCAAATCCATGTGTGCTTAATCAAGTCCTTGATAAACAGTGGCATAGTATTTGCATATAATGCGCACATATCTTCCCATATAATGTGAATCATCCCTAGGTCATTTGTAATACCAAATGCAATGTAAATTCTACGGAAATATTTGTCATATTGCATTTCTTAGGAAATAGTGACCAGGAAAAAAGTCGGATGTGTTCAGTACAGATGAAGCCCTTGCAGGCCGAACCACATGATTGATCCACAGTTGTTTGAATCCTCGGATGCAGAACTTACAGGTGCAGAGGTCCAGCTATGTAGTAAGACAAGAAAAAGAAAAAAAAATGGATGTAGCAACTGGAAAGAAAGAAGTCAAGTTGGGAAAACTCATTTTCACAGATACACAGGTGTATAGAAAATTCAGACAGACTCTCCAAAAAAGCTCCTGGAGTTAATAAATGACTTTAGCAAACTCTCTGTTACATCGTCACTGTGCAAACATTATCTATCGACATGGTTTGAGTCTGGCCCACAAAGGATCGTGCATTGGAAGCTGGATCCTCAGTGTGGCAGTAAGAGGTGTGGTGGGACCTTTAAGAGTTGGAGCTTAGTGGGAAGTAGTTCCGCCTTGGGGCTGCTGCCACGGACACTGGAAGGGATTAACATAGTCCTTGCAAGACCTCCAGTTAGTTCCAGTTAGTTCTCTCAAGAGTGAGTTGTTATAAAGAGTGAGCCTGACTTCTGTCCATGCTCTAGCTTCCTGTCTTGCCATGAGATCTCTCCCTCTCACACATTCCCACCATGATGCCATCTGTCATGATATGATCCAGACAATGGAGCCCTCACCTGAGCTGAGTCAAAGCCTGTGATGTGCCCTTGAGCCTCCAGAACTGTGAATTAAACACCCTTTTTAAAAATAAAGTATCCACCCTTGGGTATTTTGGTATAGTCATGGAAAACTGATTAATGCATACCCTATATGTTAATTACATAATCAAAATTTTAAATTTAGCATTTAGAGCAGCATCAAAAAATAAACTTCTTAGAAATAAATTCAGTGAAAGATGTGTAAAAACAACACATTAGAATTGGCAAAATATTATTCAGAGATATTCAAGAAGGCCTAAATAAAAGGGGTGTATTACTGTTTTCATGAATAAGAAGACACAGTATTGTGAACATGTTACTTTTCTGCAAACTGACATGTAGATTATATTCAATCCCAATCAGTATTCCAGCAGACTTTTAAAAATGGAAATTGACCAGCTGATTTTAAAATTGACATGAAAATGCAAGGCTGTAGTCTTAGTTAATAATGAAGAAGAACGAAATCAGAGGACTTTTGTTATCAGATATCAAGACAATGTAAAGCAACAACATTCAAGATAATGTGTACTGGTGCAGGATAGCTGTGTGGAACAGAAGACACTTGCATCACCAGATTCATGACAAAGAACCCTTGTGATTCAGCTGGGAGAAAATGTTCTTTTCCATAAACTGGGCTGG